ATAGACTAATGGAATAGGTCAGAGATTCTGGAAGCAATAACTTGATCTCTTAACCAACTCATCTTTGACAAAGTCAACAATAACAACCACTGGGGAAAGAAGATCATATTTGCAAATGGTTCTGCAAAAACTGGTTGCCCACATGCAGAAAGAATGAAACTGAACCCCTACCTATCACCATATACAAAAACCAACTCTCAATGAATCAAAGATCTAAACATAAAACCTCAAACTATAAGAATCCTAGAAGGAAATATAGGAAACACGCTTATGCATACTGGAGTAGGCAACCAATTCTTGGCCAAATTCCCAAAAGTGAATGGCACAAAATCTAATGTAGATAAGTGGGATCTCATCAAACTGAAAAGCTTTTGCAGAGCAAAAGAAACCATCAAGAGAGCAAATAGCCCACAGAATGAGAAAAAAGTTGCTAATTATTTATCTTACAAATGTCTAACATCCAAGCCCTACAAGGAACTCAAATGAGCTGAAAGAAAAAAAAAAAAACCCTATTAGAAAGTGGGCAAAAGACATAAATAGACACTTCTCAAAATAAGATATACAAGCAGCCAACAGACACATGAAAAAATACTCAAACTAAGTAATCGTCAGGAAATGCAAATCAAAACTACAATGAGGTACCACCTAAATCCAGTAAGGATGGCCATCATTAATAAATAAAAAAAAAATACAACAGATGCTGCCGCTGGTGTGGAGAAAAAATAACACTTCTACTCTGTTGGTAGGAATGCAAACTAGTTCAATCTTTATGAAAGCAGTATGGCAATTCCTAAAATAACTAAAAATTGATCTTCCTTATGATCCAGCAATCTCTCTCCAAGGAATATACCCAGAGGAACATAAACTGTTCTGCAAAAACAATACCTGGACACCTGCACATGCGTGTTTAAAACTGTGCTATTCCTAATAGCAAAAACATGGAAGCAACCCTACTGCCCATTGAACATGTACTGGATAAAGAAAATGTGGTACAGATACACAATGGAGTTTTATGCAGCCACAAAGAAGGGCAAAATGATGGACTTCACAGTAAATTGAATGGAGTTGAAGTCTATCATACTTAGTGATCTTTCACAGAAATAAAAAAACAATACCACATGTTCTCACTCATAAGTGGGATCTGAACATTAATCACATTAGCACAAGCGAGGGATCAGCAGCTGATGTACACTGCCAGGGAAGAGGGGGACATATAACAACACAAAGGGTACCTGTTCCCAAATCAGGGGAAGTGAAGACCAGTTGGAGGCCCAAACTTCACCTGCATGTAGCCTACATGTATAATTATCCAGACTTGTACCCCATATCCCTAATGAACAAAATAAAATAAAATAAATAAAAAAATTTAAAACACCAAAATATTAGGTAACTCCTTAAAGCTTGATACAATAGTATGGGTTTAAATGAGTTGTTGTGTATAATAAGAGAAGTAAAATGAGTGGTTTTTAAACCACAATACAACTATCTAAATCAGGAAATTACTACTGATATAATACTATTAAAACTAATCTGCAAATTTTATTAATATTTCTCTATTTTCCCATTAGTGTTCTTTTCCTAGTATTGCAACAATCAACATTCCCACATTACACTTGATAGTAATACCTCCTTAGTCTGTTTCAGTCTGAAACAGTTCCTTCATCCTTTTCCTCATGACCAAGGTACTTTTAAAGAGTCCCAGTCAATGATTTTATTTTTGTTCTTCCCCTCTCCCACAAATGCCATGCCAAACAAGGGCTCACATTGTTGTAATCCACTCCCACCAAGGTGCCCATATATCTGTTGAAGAAATGACAGATGGAAAGGCTTAGTCGAATTATTATTATTATTATTATTATTTTGAGTTGGACTCCCTCTGTCACCAAGGCTCAAGTGAAGTGGCACAATCACAGCTTGCCTCAGTCTTGCCCTGCTGGAATCAGGTGATCCTTCTGCCTCAATCTCTTGTGTGGCTGGGTCTATAGGCATGCACCACCATGCCTGGCTAATAACCAGTCAGTGATTTTGTAACACATCTTTAAATATGGATTTGCCTTGTGTTTTCTTTTGATTATATTTGAGTTATGATTTTGGCAGTTCGTAAGTGTCACTAACAGTGATGTTTACCTTGATCAATTGCTTAATGTCTTATATTCCAATTTTATCCATTACAAAGCTATCTTCCTCTTGGTAATTAATATGTATCTTGATGAAAGATACTTTGGACTATGCAAATATCTTGTTTCTCATCATACTGTAACCCCATAATTTTAGCATACATCAATGATTCCTGCCTAAAACAACTACTATTGATGTCTTTGCAAAAATATTTATTTGTATTTTCATCTTTCTCATATTCCAATATGTTGCCCATTCTCTTTGCATTTGTTTTTCAATTCAACTATGTATGTATATAAGTATGTATCTATATAACTATATATCTATATATGTATCTATATATCTATATATATATGTATCTATATAACTATGTATCTATATAAGTATGGTCTCATGGACATTTATTTTCTTTTATGAGATGCAATCCATTGTGTTCCCAGAATTGACCAATAAGATTTCTTCCAGTTGATTTCTATGACTCTTTCAACATAAACTCCTTAGTTTTTGAAAACTTCTTTACTTTCTGGAATAGTATGTCTCAAGCTTATCTTGAGATTTCCCTGTCTTGGCTCTGGAGCCAACTGCTTTTGTAGAGATTTTTTTTTTTTTTTAATTGAAGAACAGTGTTTATAAATAAGAGCTTAGTGCTAGATGTATTCATTTCTGTTGGGATGCCATTACTCTCAGGCCTTCTCAGAGGACAGAGCTAGGTAGTATAGCTATACATACGTGCACATACATATTTATTTTCATACCTGTCCTTTTGCATATATATTCAAAAACATGACTTCATCCTGATATCATCTATTTTAGTTTGACATAACAGGGTTAATTCTTTATTTCTCTGATCTCTTATTAGTCTGTCTATCCTGGACAAAGGAAAATCTGGCCCTTTTATCTAAAATACATTTAATTACTTTCTCAGTCTTATTATGTACATAAGTTAACTTCATAACTGTGAAAAAACAAGTTTATTAACTATTGTCCAACATCTGTATACAGTTGTCTTTGTTTTTAGTTTTATATAGTCAAACACCATTTTCCAAAATTCCTTTTAATCATTCTTTCTCATCTCCTTCACTGCAGTTATGTAATTCATTTGCAATACAGTTAAGATTATTTGTTGCTGTCTGTGTTAAATTTTGTACTATTCATATATTCAGGTTTATTTAAATTATGTTGGTTCTTGGCATATGAAGCAATAAGATGTTGTAAGAGTCAAGGCTCTACAAAGAGGTGTTATTGGCAAAATTGTGCTTCCCCTTCATTCCTTCTGTCCTATAGGTTCATTTTTTTCATTTATTTTTACCCACCTCTTTTAGGTAACCTATATATTTAAAACAGAGTTTTGTACTTTAAGAAATAAGTTTGTAAACTGAGATGTAGTTAGTGTGGCAATTTACAATCATTACTTCAATTACCTTGGACATTGTGATGTTATTTTATAAATGAGTGTGTGTATTCATACACACACACACACACAGAGAGAGAGAGAGAGAGAGAGAGAGAGAGAGAGAGAGAGAAAGAGAGGAGAGAGGATTTCATTCATGACTCCTGGCTCATAGCTATCATAGCCTTAGTCATAATGTTAGAGCACTTTTTGCCTCAGAAAACACAATCTCTCTCTCTGACCATGATTTCATTCATGACTCCTGGCTCATAGCTATCATAGCCTTAGCCATAATGTTAGAGTACTTTTTGCCTCAGAAAACACAATCTCTCTCTCTGACCTTCTTTTGCCGTCCTTTCACCAGCCCAAGGCAGGACTCTAATCTTCTATGGCCTTTCTGAAAATAGGATCATGAGACCCTCATTTCAGAAGGGTCCTGCCCCATACCCTGGAGGAATGAATGCTGCACAGGGAGATCGAAAAGAATCTGAACAGACCATCCTTGCTAAGTTTCCTCACCCAGCTGTTAATATTAGATCATGCCCCTTTTGCTCAATTTCTACATAACAGTCAATCATGCCAATCCAATGACATATCCATGACGTGGCCCAAGAGGATGGGGTTTGGAGAGCTTCTGTATAGCTGAACACACGGAGGCTTACAGGAATGTGAACAAGAACTCATCCATATGTTGGGAGAATGGGTATTCAACTTCATGGGGAGTGAAGCGTCCGTGTTTGGGGGCCCTTCCAGATCTCTCTCTGTGTATCTTTTCATCAGGCTGGCATTTGTATCCTTTAAACTATGCTTTGTAATAAACCAGTAAATGTAAATAAGTGTGTTCCTGAGTTCTGGGAGCTGCTTTAACAAATTAATCAAGCCTAAGTAGGGGGTTATAGAAACTCCAATTCATAGTCATCAGAAAAATAAAGTAGCCTGGAGCTTTCAAATGGCATGGAAGTGGTGGCAGTACGGGGTAGTCTTGGGAACTGAGCCCTTAACCTGTGGGATTTGATGCTATATCCAGGTAGGATATCATAATCAAATTAAGAGAACATGCAGCTGGTGTCCACTACAGAATTGCTTGCTTGGTATGTAGTAGAAACCTCTTCCCCAATACATGTTCACAGATGTCTCCTGTGTCAATTGTTGTGGTGTGAGAACACACAGGAAAAACTTTGAGTCTTTCCACATTCAGAGGTACCTACAGCAACTGTCTCTTTCCCTTCTTCTCCCCTTCCACACCCACTCACATTTACCTGAGAAGACTCTGCCTTTGTGACAAAACCTCTCTATTGCAAGCAAAAGTGACCAAATCATAACTCCCAAATATATCTTTATCCATTCACTTCATTCACTGATTTAATTGTTTGAAATTATATAATAAGCAGGTTTTGAGACATGTTTGAAAGTTAATGCAACTGAGTAACTTATGAAACACAGAAGGCCAACACTTAGGATTCTAAAAAAAGATGGATTTTTGGAGACTCACCATTGAAATTAACATTGCGAATGTACTTTAACAACTTCTTGCCCCCAGCTTGCTCCATCTCCGGGCAGACACCCCGGTAGTCAGCACAGAGATCCTTGTTCATATGGTGAAGGGCATGAGCCATGGCATAGACTGCGTCAATCACGAACTGAACTTTACCTTCCTGCTCATAGTTAGAATCTTTTCCAATTCTCTCCTGTCCTGCACATTAAAATAAGAAACATATACAAAGGTTGGCATTGAGTAGAATGTCTACATTTGTATTTATGTTCAATTATGTTTAAAGAAAACAATGCTTTGAGGAGTACAATAAGGCAAGCTACATTTGGATACCATGTGGTATCTATATCCTCTACCCATATCAGGCTACCATGTTAGGTTGTCTTAATCGTTTTTGGTATTTTACTTAGGAGAACATTACATTAACCTTTCTGATGAATTAGATAACCTTTAGACAGTACTTCAAAGAATCACAATTATAGCTTTTGCAATAAACCAACAGATTATGCAGAATATAGTGGTCCCATAGAATCAAAAGATCCTTGGGATTAGAAGCTGGGTTGCCATATTCAAATCTTCAAGGCCCACTTAGGCTAGAAAGGTCCAAAGGAAATGATAGAAAGCAAACTAAATTCCATGCCTGAACTCATTACTTGTCACATACCTTCTCTATTTTCTGTACTGCCTGTCTCAATTATTGGTATTACTGGTGATTTAGAGCTCAGACTAGAAATCCTTGTGTCATTTTTAAAAACTTCTTTTTCCTTTTTTACACTCCCTGCTTTCACATACATAAGTCTAATGAATAGCAAAGCTCAATCAGTTCTCCCTCCAAAGCACAGAACAGTTTCAAACACTCTACCAATAGCCTACTTATGCACTCTACATCTTCTGTCAAGGTGCAAGGTTGGAGGTCTCCCTTCATCCATTCTTTCCTCTATGTTCACCTTTGCAAACTACCAAGCTGATCACCCCATCCTTACACTCAATATCCTTCAATGGCTCTCCTCTGCCTTCAAAATAAAATCTAAATTCATTCCCTTGACAGTAGTGAATGTTTATCATTTTTCCCCAATCTGCCTAATAATGATAACAACTGACATTGATTAAGTACCCACACTGTATTGAAAGCTTTGTATACAGTATTTTTATGTCATTCTCATGTTTTGTGGTAAATATTTTTTTATCTTCATTATATGGATGGGAAAGCTGAGCCTTGAGGAGATTAAGTCACCTTCTCAATGTCATTTATAGGTAGATAGATGACAGCTCAGGTTTGTTCAACCCCAAAGCCCACATTCTTCTCATTCCTTTGGTCCTGCTTACCCTTTCTCATTTTTTTTCTAATTTAAAAATTCCAGATACGTATGGCTATTATTTCTATTAAACTATCTTTGCTCCTGCTGTTTACTTTACCAGAGTTACCCTCCCTCTTTGCTTTTACCCATCATAATTTAATTCAATAATTCAATCTTTTCACAGCAATACCCATAGATTTCCTACACTTAGGTCCCCTCGATCTCAAACATTTCAAACTTCTATAGCAACATTATTTATTTTATTTTATTTTATTTTATTTTTTTGAGTTGGAGTCTCACTCTGTTGCCCAGACTGGAGTGCAGTGGCCGCTCCCGGCCACCGCAGCCTCGCCTGCTGGGCTCTGGCAATCCTTCTGCCTCAGCCTTCCAAGTAGCCAGAACTACAGGCGCGCGCTACCACGCCTGGCTGATTTTTTATAGCGATGAGGTCTCGCTGCCCAGGTGGGTCTCGAACCCGCGGGCTCAGGCAATCCACTCACCTCAGCCTCCCAAAGACGCGGGATTACAGGCTGAGCCACCGAGCCCCAGCTAGCAACATTATTAATAGCACTATATTTATATGCTCTACCAGTAGGTGTCCCTGATATTTTTTAACCTTTAGAATTCCAGCATTGAACACAACATTTAGCATCTAGTAGATATTAAACAATATTTGTTGTATTAAATTATGCATTCATTAAGTACATGATACCAGCAGCTTTCTCTAGACCGCTTGCCTCTCTATGAAGAATAATTATTCACAGATTGCATTTCACGTTCACAGTAATGTTTCTCAGATTGTTTTCCATGGCACATTTGTGTAGTGAAGAAACAACAGGAATTCTACAACTCCTTCTGCAAAATACACAAAGGGTTTCTGATAGCCACTGTGTTAAAAAGTTTTGGGTTTCTTCAGTGAGAGATGCTTTCAGCGTATTTAACATTATAACATAAAAAATGATCTTCAAGAGGAATTTCCCAAAGTTACTTAAATTTGTATGTTTCTCATATGCCAGAGATTTCTGTGTTTTATACGAGGGGGACCACCCAAAAAATGGAATTATTATTATCATTATTTTTGGAGGGCAGGCCCCTTGTAGTTCACTCAGAATTTGTTCTTCCAAATCAAATGATTTGGAAGTTTTGAGAAAGTTGCATCATGATTTATGGAAGAAACTCCCCTAGTTGAGGCAAACAGGTGACTGGTACTTCCACCATATCAATTCACTTGCCCATGCCACGCTGAGTATTCATCAATTTTTGACCAAAACAGCATGACCGCCATGTCCTACCCTCCCTACTCACTCCATCTCACTCCAGGCAATTTTTTTGTTTCCCTTAATGAAAAAAGTCTTCAAAGGAAAATGTTTTGCCAATGTAGAAGAGGTGAAACAAAAAATGACAGAAGCATTGAAAGTCATCGAAATTGATGAGTTCAAAAACTGTTTTGAACTGTGGAAAATGTGTCTTGATAGGTGTATTGCATCAAATAGAGAATACTTTGAAGGTGGCTGAAGTTTAAACATGTAAGAATAAATACACAATTTTTAAATAAATAAATTCTGGGTATTTTGGGGTCCCCCCCATCAAATGTATCTAATTTAAATATCAAACAACTTTATTCTCACTGCTTATCACCAGATCTAAGGTTTTTCAGTGTGTATAGAGTAGATTTTTTTTTCCTAATGATTAAATTTATCATAAAATTATGCTGCTACGTCTCATTCAAATTCAAGACTAGGGGGTTTTTACTTAGCCTTGAGATTTTTACATCTCTACCTCCTTTATCCATGAGTAAAAATCCTGATTCTTAATAATACTGTTATAATTATTTGTTTGCTTTTTCCCATAATATGCAGATAACAATCTTAGAATAACAATCATATGTAACAAATAGTTTAAAAAGTATGAAATAATCTGGTGTACGTGCATATAGATGTGTTTCAATTTTTGCCTGAGTATTTGAGCGACAGCTTTTGAGAAGTGAAATTTTTTTTAAGGGATGCATTCATATGTTTGGTTTTTTTTTCTATATATTTGCAAATTCCCCTATAAAAGAGTCACACCATTTTGCTGTCCTGTCAGCAATAAATAAGAATGTTTGTTTTCCACAACTTCACCAAAAGAGTATGTTGTCAAACTTGAATTTGTTTCAATCAGATATTTGAGAAATGCAACCACAGTGTATTTTAATTTGCATTTTTTCTGTTATGGGGAAAGTTGAGTTTTTTTGCCTATAGTAAGAGGAAACTTTGTTTCTTTTTCTGCAAACTATTTATAATCTAGTCAATTTTTATTAAAAGTTATTGATTACTTTCTTCTATTTTTTTTTTTTTTTTTTTGAGTTGGAGTCTCACTCTGTCTCCCAGACTGGAGTGAAGTGGCCGCTTCCAGCCACTGCAGCCTAGACCTGCTGGGCTCCGGAGATCCTTCCGCCTCAACCTTCCAAGTAGCTGGAACTACAGGCGTGCGCTACCACGCCTAACTGATTTTTGATTTATTGTAGAGATGCGGTCTCGCCAAGTTGCCCAGGCAGGTCTCGAACCCGCAGGCTCAGGCAATTCACTCACCTCAGACTCCCAAAGGTGAGGGAATACAGGCTGAGCCACCGAGCCTGGCTACTTTCTTCTCTATTTTAAAGGTTTTTTAATTAATTAGATATATTGACTCACAGAGATTAAGTTGCAAATATTTTCCTCAGCTTGTTATTTTTTTATTTTCTTTCATATGAATTTGTATTTATTTATCTCCTAACAAAATTTATTGATTTCTTTTTCTCTTATCACTTCTGGATTTTGAACCATGAAAAAAAGTTCCCATTTCAGGATATAGCAGTTTCTATCTATGCTTTCTTCTAATACTCAAATAACTTTATTTTTTCAAGTTAAATATTTGGTCTGTTTGAAATATATTTTGGTGTGCCAGTGTGAGAAATGAATCAAAATTTTATCTTTTTTCGTATAGCTAGTCAGTTATTATACCATCTAATAGTTGTCCTCTCTTACTGATTTGAGGTGCTCCCTTTACTATATACTAAATTTTCAAATGTTCATATGTTACTGAGTCCACTTCTGGATTTCTAAAATCTGTTTCATTGTTTGGTTTGTCTGTTCATGCATCAGCACTGGAATTTCAACTATGATGGCTTTGTAACGTATTTTAATAACTAATAGAGTTAGCCCCTCTCCTGCCATAACTGTTGATCTTTTTTAGATTCCTATAGATAATTTTATTTCCTCAGATGAAATTTATTCACCATATCTAACTGCAGAAAAAAAAATCAACTTGGTCAATTTATTGGGTTTGTCCTGTGTTTAAAAATAAACTTATCTAGAACAGAAACTTTGATGCTGTTGAGTCTTCCTATTTGTATTTTTTCATTTGTTTATCTACTTTTGCTTCCTTGAATAATGTTTAACATTTTTCTCATATAGGTTTTGAATGTGTCTTAAACATTTAGTCAAGATATTTCATTTACTTTTGCTATTATAAATACAGTATTCTTTTCCATGCTTCTTACTGGTTTTTGATTGTGTTTATAAAAGCTATTCTTTGTTATGTTGTTGCTGTTTTATTATTTTCCAGCTTTCTATCATGAAAAATTTAAATGCAGAGTAAGATTAAAAGAACTTTACAGTGAATCTATCAAGTAGATTCTAACATTATCATTTTACTATATTTATTTTATAAGGCTATTCATTTTTAATATTAATTTTACAACCCGCTACTTTATAAATTTCTCCTATCTTTTATAGCACTTAGAAAAGGCAATCTTGGCGTTATGACCATTATAAAATATATACTATGACATAGCTTCAGACTAATAATTCAAGAGAGCCATTTCTAAACTGCACTAAGACAATCATCTTGAAAATAATGCCTTGAAAAATAATTGTGTTATTT